AGGTTTGAACAGAAGGTGGTGGGTTCTTCTTTTTTGGACATTTTCAAGCAGAGACTAGATGGCCATCTGACAGACATGCAGAGAGGGTGGGCAGAAAGGGATGAGCTTGGCTCGCGTGGCCCTTTCTTACAGGCCCAGGGTAATGCCAATCACCCTTTTGGGGTCAGGGAAGCATCTTCCTCCAGGCCAGATTAGCCCAAGGATCCTGGAGGTTTTTTGCCTTCCTCTGGGCATAGAGCAGGCGTCACGGGGGGAGGGGGCTGTAAATTTTCTGCATTATGCAGGGGGTTGGACTAGATGACCACTGGGGTTCCTTCCAGCTCTACATTTCTATGTGCATTTCTTTGTAAGCCTCCTTGAGAACTTTGGTTAAGAGCAGTAAAATAAAATGCCTCAAACAACTTGGCAAGAACAGTTTGTTAAGGGAACAGAGCTTCGCTTGCCCCGGTTCTGTTAAGAAAACAAACTCTCTGATACCTTCTGGAATATTTAATAAATCCTTGTAAGTAATGTGCCGTTTGGAGGATTTAGAATAAAGGCACTGGTATGAAATGGGGACGGCAAAGGATGAGATGGTTAGACAGTGTCATAGATGCAACGAACATGAAGTTGACCAAACTGCAGAGGACGGCGGAAGACCGGAAGGCCTGGCGTGATCTGGTCCATGGGGTTGCAAAGAGTCGGACTCGACTGTGCGACTGAACAACAACAACAACTTTAACACCCAGTTACACGATTTCCCCCCTCATCTTGTTAGTGATTAAAAAAACAGACTTAATATGTCTACAGTGGATTCAAATTAGAAAGGGTCAAATTAAATATTTACCTTATTCCAAACGAAGTTTGTAACCAGTGTTCCCTCTATGCTGAGTTAGTGTGAGCTAGCTCACAGTTTTTTAGCCTCCGGCTCACACATTTTAGCTCAGGAAGAATGGCTCCAGAGCAAACTAATTTATGCAGTATCCAAATTGCTCCCTCACAACTTTAATGCCGGTAGCTCACAAAGTAGAATTTTTGCTCACAAGACTCCACAGCTTAGAGGGAGCATTGTTTGTAGCATACTGTGCCAGCCACCACTAACGCTGAAGGTGTAGCTAAGCTACCTACATTAGATCATTTATGCAATTCCCGATTCAGGCAAAAGGAAAAGGTCACAGCGGTACATGGGGGAGGGAAAGTAGACAGAGTACTTTTTCTCCCTTCCTCATAATACCAGCGCTCAGTGGACACAGTGATGGCCACAAGCATGAATGGCTTAACTTGCTGAATATGCAGTGATGGCGAAACTAACAACTTATTTGAGAAACATCAGTTACGGAATCTGCGGAGACATGGAGTGTGTATTATATGTATGAAAGTGGGAGACAAACCTAGAACGGGAAGCAGACTAAGGCCCAATTTGCATCTAGCATTTGCTCCGCTGCCTTACCAAACCCATGCTGGAACAGAAATTCCCCTCTACATTGCATCTCACTTTCACTTTGTCGGATTTCATGGCAGCGTCCAGACTGCATACTGCTTTTACTTTGTTTGATCTCTTGGTTTTATGGTGGCCGTCTGCATAGATTTATGGCTGGTTTTATGGCCATTCAGGGGTGACTCTGCAGTCAGTATGGCGTTGGCCGGGGGGGAATCTGAATGTGGTTTTGAGCTGTATCTTTTTCTGTTCCAGTGTGGGTTTGATAAAACAACCAAGAGAATGCTAGATACAGATTGGGCTAATGGCTCATTATGCATGCACATCTTACTGCAGATTTTCAGAGCAGTCGGCCTCAAAACTTGACTTTGGATTCTGTGCCTGCCTCACGCACCATTCTTTCCCCTCCAGTGTATTTATTTTGCAGCTACAATTTTTAAAAACGTACTTTTCAAAATTGGGGTGGAATGTCGCTTGTGATGTGGGGGGGGGGCATCCAAAGCTTTATATATATATATATATA